GTTCCCCCTTTTAAAGGTTAATCTTACTTCTTGTTGTCATTATTAGCTTTACCCCATTGCGTAATTTGTAATATTTCAGTTTTTTCTTGTAATATGATTTGTGCATCTGCTGGGATTGAAGGGTGGGGTGGGGTTTGACAGCGACTAACAGCGTGACCCTATGCAGAGTCACACACACCCCTCTAAAGCCATTGAAACCAGTAGGCTTAGACTAGAGTAACTCTGCTTAGGCCTTCAGGACTGATTTCCAGCAGAGCTCACTTCATCAGATGCGGATGGAGTGGATAACGGTTTTACGCAGGCTTGTGACGTTACCTGTTCTGCTCTCATTGTTGCCATGAACTGGCTCAGTGGCAAGCCACTAATTATCCCCAGTGTTACGTGGGGATAATACTGACCAGCCTTACAAGAGTGTTGTAAAGATTATTGGAAAAAATGGGTATGAAGTGTTTCAAATACCCTTTTTATTAATAATACCAATAATTAAGAGCTGCAGATGGAAGAGGGTCTGCAGAAGTGACCTTAGCTGCCTTCCCCTGTGCCTGAAGCCCCCGTGCCCCTTCTCCTCAATCGTCATTTCCGGGCATCATTAGGGAAGCCCCTGGAGTCGACAGGGTACTCGGCAGTGGGGGAAAGGAATTGGCCTGCCGTTCATGGTTCTCGCCAAAGCGACCGGCCCCGTAGCCAGAAATTTTGGGTCGGTGGGGGCACGGGGAAATTTTGTGCGGCATCAGGGGAGGGGGAGGGAATAGAGAGAGGGGAGAGTGGGGAGGGAGAGGAGTGGCTGCACACCTTCTCTGAACTCCAAGCGGCAAATTCGCTGCTTGGAGTTCAAGGAAGGCGTGCAGCGGGCAGCCGCCCCTCTCCCTCCCCTCCAACAAGATTAAAGGGCCTGCTGATAAGTTGGAGGGCCTTTTAAATATCGGAGGAGAGGAAGGAGGGGGCAGCGGGGCAGAGCCCTGTAATGCCCCACAGTAGCTACAGGGCTGAAAGCAAAGCTCTTTTACTATCATCAGTATCATCATCATCTACTCTTCCCCCCCCCTCGTCAAGGGTTTTCAAGCCGAGAGACACTGAGAGGTGGTTTGCCATTGGCTGCCCCTGTATAGCAAGCCTGGACTTCTTAGGGATCCCATAAAAATGTTAACTAGGGCTGACCCTGCTTAGCTTCTGAGCTCTGACAAGATCAGACTACCTTGGGCTATCCAGGTCAGGTCAGTATTGTCTACTACTATAGTAGTAGCCCACACCTTGAGTAGAAATTTGTTGGTCTTAAAGGTGCCACTGGACTCAAACTTTGTTCTACTACTATAGTGTTATTTACTAGCGGTGGTGGTAGTGGTAGTTTCTCCTTCTACATTATCATCATCATCATCATCATCATCATCATCATGATAATCTATTATAGCATTATTATTTACTATTACCTACTACTACTACTACTATTACCTACTACTACCTACTACTACTATTACCTACTACTACTACTGGGTGCTGCGGTGGCTCAAGTGGTTAGTTCAGTAGGGGCATGGGGAAATTTTCTGGGGCATCAGGGGAGGGAATAGAGAGAGGGGAAAGTGGGGAGGGAGAGGAGTGGCTGCACACCTTCCCTGAACTCCAAGCAGCAAATTCACTGCTTGGAGTTCAAGGAAGGCGTGCAGCAGGCAGCCGCCCCTCTCCCTCCCCTCCAACAAGATTAAAGGGCCTGCTGATAAGTTGGAGGGCCTTTTAAATATCGGAGGAGAGGAAGGAGGGGGCAGAGCCCTGTAATGCCCCACAGTAGCTACAGGGCTGAAAGCAAAGCTCTTTTACTATCATCAGTATCATCATCATCTACTCTTCCCCCCCCCTCGTCAAGGGTTTTCAAGCCGAGAGACACTGAGAGGTGGTTTGCCATTGGCTGCCCCTGTATAGCAAGCCTGGACTTCTTAGGGATCCCATAAAAATGTTAACTAGGGCTGACCCTGCTTAGCTTCTGAGCTCTGACAAGATCAGACTACCTTGGGCTATCCAGGTCAGGTCAGTATTGTCTACTACTATAGTAGTAGCCCACACCTTGAATAGAAATTTGTTGGTCTTAAAGGTGCCACTGGACTCAAACTTTGTTCGACTACTATAGTGTTAGTGGTGGTGGTAGTGGTAGTTTCTCCTTCTACATTATCATCATCATCATCATCATCATCATCATCATGATAATCTATTATAGCATTATTATTTAC